ACGAGCACCACGTTTGCCTTTGTATCCTGGTTCACCAGGCGGACCTTGCGGACATGGAGGACATTCTTCGCCTTCGATAGCATTGCCCGACAGCCCTGCCTTACCCTTTGCTCCAGGTGCTCCGGGTTCACCATCAAGTCCTAAAAGTATCTGATATTTTTCGAATGTAACAAAACCATAAGGTGAACCATACTGTAAACATAAGGAAATCATATATCAAACCTTTGAGTCCCGGCGCTCCTTTTGGTCCCTTTGGACCAGCTGGGCACTTCAGAGCTGCACCTGCTGCTCCCTTTCCTTTTGCAGCATTACCTCCAGCGGCAGCTCCTGAGGAACCTTCCGGCCCACCATGAGGACGCGCTGGTGAGGCTACTCCACCATCGCCAGCCTCTCCATTTGTTTCGCCGCCCGACCGGGAAGTGGCCTCCTGACCACTTCTGTCTAAAAAATTACTCACTATTTACAACCATTACCATAAAGTCAGTCGGGGCGTGTCATGGGTTTCGCACGCCGCCAAACCGACCTCCATTGATCGTTGCGGCTTCGGCCCTTCAGCGAGTGGTGGGAGGTGGAGTGGCGCTGCGCCAAACCACATGTACCGTTGACACGCCCCGACTGACTTCAGTGATTACGACAGTATATGGACTAAGAATCGAACTAAAGCATATTGCCACTCACAAGCTTGACGGGCCGTCCTTTTAAGTACATCTCCTTCACTCATAAGGTCCTTCCACATAATGTTCGACATCTCGTCGTAGGTAATCCGCGCTTCCATCAACTCCGCCTCAAGGCTGTTCATGATGGTGAACAGCATGGGCATTGAAACCACCTAGTAGAAAGGATAGGAGGGAAATCATGAGAGTAAAGAGGAAAAAAAGAAGCAAATACACATACCAAGCAGATGAACGCACATCCGGAGAGAAGTGTTGGCCGACCCTGTGCGATGTTGGTTGAAATGGTTGAGCCCGGGCGAGGGATAGGTTCCCATCTAAAAGGAGTGAAAATACCCACAACATTCATCTAAAATATTCAGCGCTATGAAAGCATCCGTAAATGGAAAGGAAAATTGAATTTAGGTCATGGAAGGCCTAAAGAACGCATCTAGACAACTAGTAAAATGTTATGCAATACTAAAGTGGTATAAGCCTCAGTAAGTAGCTCTTATATAATGGCTAGCATTCGATGCGATCTCTTAGCGGGTGTTGAAATCGCAGAGATGATCTTAAGTTTGAACTGGTTTTTAGGCATTAGTTATGTGTGGTATGCTAATAAAACAGGACAACACTTCCGCACTTTGCAAGTGAGCTCTTTAGATTGTCCAGCCGCTCAGGCCAGATCCATGACCGCTTGGATAAAGATGAAAACGAACCTGGACATACTGTACACCCACCTCCGTGCATCCTGCTCCTTGCCGGTTATGAGATGAATGGATCCGCCGTGCACTTTCTCCGGTCAAAAGTGCACGGGAACGATGGTAGAAGATATCGGGGCGTCGCCTTCCATACTCCGCTCGCGCTGTCGCACGACCAGCAATCACAGCCAGAAGCGCGGTGTTCGTGTTCAGTTGTGTCTTCACTGGTTCATGTTAACTCAAAGAATAGCCCACCTCCGACATGAGCTGTTCGAGATTTTTCTCGCTGTGAGCGGGCGCCATTGGGCGCTAAGGTTTGTTGTTGACCTTTTAGCGTACGCTAATGCATCTTCCTTTAATGGAGAAATGAGGGCAATTTGCTCTGCACAACAAATTTGTAAGGATTGGCCGCGCTGCGGACACCAGTGTTGTGCTCAGTCTGGTACTTTTCACCGCAGGAGGGAGACGTTTTATGACATGGCTGTTACCCTAGTCCTGGCCCCCTGGTCCTGGCAGGGTTTGATTTACGATATAATACGTTGTCTGCGCCCATATGCAGTGACCCATAACGTCTCTTTCACTACACTATCTCTACCCGAAAATTCTGACAACAAGTTGGGAAAGCAAGTGTTTCAGAGGAAGGGTTCTCGCCAAAGGTTAAGAGCAACTGTGATGACTAGACAGGGCACAGCATTCGATGGGGATTTTGGTCAGGCCTGTACGACCCCCCCCCTTTTTGGGGGTTCGGTACGACCCCCCCTTTTTAGTGTTTAGACGTCGAGCATAATGCCTGATAGAATTAGATAAAACAATTAGATATAAAAAATAGATATAAACAGTCCTACCTAAATTGACTTGATTTACTTATGTACAAGCGTTTGTGATCAAAAACACGATGAGTAGCATACACACAGCATAAATGCGAGTTAAATGAGACTATGATTAAAACCAAAAAACAAAAGCGGCCCTTAACAGTAAAAAGACAAACAAAAAAAGAAATACGCCTAAAATGCATTAACCCCGAGATGTGGAGTACGGTAGCAGAGATGCGTACGTAATTGCAGCCGTGACTGGAGCAAACGGCTATTAGCCATGGAGCGAGAATTTTCAGCAAAGTCAGGGTGGTGTCCTTTGAAAGGACCATAAATTCCCTCAAAAGCGGAACCTTGTGGGGAAGACGCGAGACTGCGTATTGTAAAATTAGAAGGTTTGGTCTTCCTGAAAGTACTAAAATGTTCATGAAGGTCGCGAAAATCACAGAGAAATCTGCCATAGGGATTCGTTGGGGAGTGAAGGGTTGAAGTTCAAGTTGAACAGGTTTGAATCAATATATTTTTTTGTAACTCAACATTTCACAAATCTGAGAACGGATCCGAGCTTCTCAAGATTTTCTCTTTCTAAAAACCTATTGAACTGTTCCTGAAGCTCTCGGGATTCATGAGATCTCGCGATGGGGATTTCTTAGGGAGCACTCCCAGCCGCGCGAAAAACCCGTTTCCTGTGCACCGTTTCAAGTGAGCGTGTTCGAATAGCCAGGAACGCATGTAGAACGTATCCTGTGGTGGAGCAGGAGCAGGATATGGTTCGTTTAGCGCCGATCACGCTGACTTTGTATGCGCCGCGCACTGAGTGCGCGCAGAAGTGAATGGATGGTGGGCAGACTTTGGGCAAGTAATTGCAGGTGTCCACGCGCGCAAATGTGTCTGTAGGATTCAGGGAGGTCCATGGCGAACCTGTGCACTTGTCTACAGTGTTTTCCCTTGCGGATGATGTAGCGTGTCCGTGTCGACGCCGCCAGATCTGTGCTCCGATAGTTGCTGATTCCGATAAAGGAGACCAAGTGCTGGAAAACGTCTGGTACGAACGATATGGTAGTCCTGTCGTTTGTCAGAAAAAAAACAGGTTGGCTCAGCGCCAAGCGTGATCGCGGACACGCCCCATCATCCGCAGCAAACCAGAGTATGAGTTGTAGTGTTTAATCACTTACGAGATGTTGTCGACTTATTAATAATTCCAATTATTTCGGATTAGTTTGATGGATGAAAGTTTTGTACTCATTTTTTACATATCCGAGTTCTCTACGAAGCAAGTTCCGCTACACAGGATTCAGCACACTGACACCTTTGCGCTGCTCGATACTGGCTACCGCACTCATTACGACCCCCCCCTCTCCTGGCGGCCAAATACGACCCCCCTATGGGGATTCCCCAACCAATGCTGTGCCCTGCACTAGAAGACCCAGATCCATTGATTCATATATTTATAGTGAAACAGGGAAAGTTTGCAAGAAAGGTTTACTTGCTGCTCAATCCTATCGACGCATCAGTTCCTCTGTGATGTGATCCAGAAATTCTTAGATGAGTTAGAGCAGCAAAAAGATGTTGCGGTCATGAGATCCACAATCGGCGACAAGGGAGAAGTGCGTTGCAGGTGACCTTCGAGCATCCGCAATGGTGCCTAAATGATTCAAAGTTACAGTATGCCGAGTCGACTAGCTAGATGCTATATTCTCTGCTCCTTCCTGCGCGTCTGAAGTGTCCTTAACTACAGCGGGTTTTGTAGAAAATCCATCAGTGGGTCATGGCGGATTCGAGATTGGAAACTGCCATGTCGCCAGCTACGACTTTCAATGAACCTCGACACTACCAAGCCTTCTTTCAGTAGTACGGTTGTGTAGGCCTTCTTTTAACCATCAAGGTGCCTGACGAAATGGGAAGTTTCTGCCGAAAAGCCTGCTATTGCGTTCAAAACACTCAAGAACGGCGACTTACGAAGACAATCCTAGCGTACCCTAGTGATGTGCTTTGTCGGTCTGTGGAAACGTCAAGACTTGTTCTGGGTAATTCACTTCTGCGCCATTTAGGCGTGAAATAGCCACTGCCATCCTTGTTCTTTGGTTGTTTATACTCGAAAAGGAGACCATCCAGGACAAGGAAAGTCCACATGGGATTCTGCAGAAAAGGTTGTCAAGGTGGGGGGGGGGTGGTCCTTCGGTCCGATAAACATTTTTTTGATTGCTGATTCTTCCCATCTTGAAGGCAAGGTACTCGGACAGGTATTCTGGATAGTGGTGCTCGAAGAGCAATGGCAAGATGCAAGAAAGTCAATGGTGGAGAAAAATGAAAATATACCATTTTCACTTTTAAATCGGACACTTTTCAAACCAAATCGGACACTTTTCAAACCAAATTGGACACTTTTCAAATCAAATCGGACACTTTTCA